GTGTTCGAGCAATGTCATGGTTTGAACGTAACCAACTCATAAGGCCAGGGCTTTCAAGTTTCCTGTATAACCAATTGCCTTAGTGGAATAGCTCAGCTTTATGGATTTAATTTCTTAAGATTGTCAAGAAGAACCTGTTATAGTCTAGGTGTTGTTGAAAGTCAAGGAATCTCATTTTTAGAGTTCAATTTCTAAGCAACTGACCTAAACTAGATTTACCTACTCGACTATTCCATCTGTAAAGATAACGATCATCATATAACGTCTTAAATAAAAAGTATAGAAATGTCATATGCAAAAGGATGCCCCATGTTATCCGCACCATATGAAATGAAAATGTTATATTGGTTAATTGCAAGAGCAGGGTATGGTGTTTGAGGGTATATTCTGGGTAAGGTCAAAGTTATTGTTTTAAATCATGTTACTTTGTCAGAGATTTGTAACTTTGAACCATTTACAGAGTTTCTTAATTCAGTTTATATTCAAAGAATTGCAAGTTTTCAAATGTGATTCATTGCTTGTCATCATTAAAGTAACAAAAATTTATTCAAATGTTCTTACAAAAACTTGAGAAAAAAAAAAAACAAACTCAAACAGAATGCCTCAAATGATGAAATGATCTGCCTCACTTGGATGCCCCCGAGTTGTTGAAGTTGATCCAATTCTTGTTATGTATTTTATGTACGATTCTCTTGAATGTGGAGTAGCTCTTGATAGTGCACCCTTGGACACCGCTATGATTTGCAATGAGCATTCTCATCATACTACCTGGGGTACAGGGGCTTCATGGGTTTCTCTGGATATGGTGACACCACATGGGTGTCAAGAAGTTGATGGTAAAGCTCTTTGTAAGTCCTGGGAATAGAATCAAAATGTTCCCATTTTTTATGAGACATGCGAATGTAATAAAAAAGAAAAATAATGCGAAATATGCAGGAATGCATGATGCATGCAATGTTCAAGGCATTGATCAAAAAATGTGTCTGTTATTAGAAATAATCCTTATTGAAGGCAAAAGTGTTTTATCTTTTAAGAGACAAAATATCCTGACAGCTTCTGACACGTTGACTAGTCTTCTGCCTTCGTCTGTCACCGGTTGAATAACCTGTCGAACTGTTCTGGCTTCTCTGGATGAACCGTGCAAATGTTGAGTTGCCTTTTGTACTGGCCCAAGAAGTCTCAAATGACTGCATCTCTGGCATTTATCTTTTGTTGAACCTGTTCCCAATGAATACATCATTGGAGCCCTCAATTGATAGGAACTATGTGAAGTTCATTTGTCTGTTTTTTGAATTCGTCAGCAATGGTCTCCAATTTCAGCTATCGTTTTGCCATTGTTGTCTTTGAAGGGACTCCCTTCATCTTGCCCCTGCAACCTCTGCCAGTCAGTTCTTCAAAGATAGACTTTCATTGTGCTTGATGTAGACCCGGTTCATTCTGAGTCCTTTATAATGCAGCAGAGTGATACACTCTTCAATTGTGGGCACTACGTCTTCTGGATTGAATGCGACATATAGTCGCCTTGTAGACTGTCCTCTGTATTTTCATCTCTTGTATTATAACCCCTTTGTGCATTATAACCCCTTTGTCCATTAATGCAGATATTCATGTTTAACAAACACATTTTTGGTAGATCAACTGCTCTTTTAAATGATACAAGTGATGAAAATGAAAAGAGTTAGTGAGGTGAAAATAATAAAAAATAATCATGAAAAATAAAAGTCCTACCCCACATGCTTTAATTTCTACCCGGACATGATCTCTATCCCGCATGTTAATTTCAAACAAATCCTAACCGCATATTTGTCTAGTTCGCATACTTTGAACAGAAAATAAGGCAGGAAACAAAGCATCCTAGGGTTTGGAATGAGGTTTTGGGGTGGGCTCTAATTTCTGTACTCTCCGGTTTAGGTTCTAAAAAATGTACTCGAGTTCTCCTTGCTGGTGCCCCCTTGGGCTTGCCAGACCCTTAGTCCTAAGCCCACACAAGCTTATGTGGACTAAGTTAAACTCGAGAGGATACATTCCCTTATGCCCATACGGAGAATAAATTCACACGAAGACATAAGTTATATGAATCTCAAATGTTATTTGCTAGGCCCATAAGGAGAATAAATTCCCACGAAGGCGTCGCTTTCGCCCCCACTTAAAAGGGTTCGGAGCTCGGTATAGAACTAGAGATGACAATTTTGAAAAATATATGAAATCATTAAAAAAATGTTAGTATAACTATTTATTTGAAAAAAATAATCAAAGATAAATAATAAGAATCGAATAAATAAATTAAAATTTAAACATGTAATTTTTGCTAAAAAAGACAACCGGAAATTAATTTCGGTCTGACTCACTTACCTGTCCCTAGCATAGTCGCCAAGCTGTCGGAACCATCTTTCGGTTGGGCCTCAAATTGGGCTTCGACTTGGATTAAATGGATTTGAGTCACCACCGACCATTTAAAACGAATTTAGGTAGGTCGGACACCATCTTATCTGATCTGCGTTGTATCAAAAACGTGTCGGGTTTGGGAGTCGGTTACGGTCAAGGAAGGATTAGCACCCTTGAACCGCCCTTTCGATACCAATTAATTCATCGGTTATCTTAATCGCGAAAATCAAAATTGAAATTTAAAAATTCAATTCGAATTAATTATCTTTGATCGATTGAAAGTCTCTCTAAAAAGTCAAAATTGTTGGATTGTAAAATTGAAAATAAACATGAGAAAAGAATAATAAAAAATATTAATATAATAATATTAATAAAAATGAATAAATATATATATATATAACACTGTAAAAATAAATAAAAAATATTAAAATTAGGATAAAATGAAAAATATATATAAACTAAATAAATAAAAATGAAATAAAAAGAATAAGTTAAAAGTTGTTACATCTCTCATGCTTTTGTGTAGATAAACTGGATTTGCAATGAAAATGTTCTGCCACTCCTTGTGCTTTTAGATACTGGCTTTGGATCCTCCACGCTTATTTTTTGTCCTTTTCTTCCCTCAGTTTTTCCAATCGTTTCCCCTTCCTCTGATTTTGGTTCCACGTTTTTCTCTTCTTTCCTCTTGATGCTTGAGTCTATTTAGTCTAAAGAAACCTATTTTTAGCTCAGATTTAGAGTCCTACTTGGACTCAAAATGCTTCGGTTTTAGTGTTTCAATAGGACTCAAATATGTTGGTCTTAGTGTTTCAATAGGACTCAAATACGTTGGTTTATTTTTTGAATCTCACTAAATTAGGTTGTTGAGTGTGGGGCCTAAAAAATAATAAAAAAAAATTATTAATAATAATAATAATAAATAAATAAAATATAATAAAATATTTTTGTAGATCCGGACAAAAACGAGTGTCTACACTGTGACACTGAATTTTCATATTTATCGTTTGCATTGCACCTCAAGAATTCATCGCATGCAGGCCTGACCGCTTGGTATATCTTGTGGATGCTTGAATGGTATTCATATTGCTTCCTGTGGTTGAAATTTGATTAAACTGTACTACTTTATTTAAATAAACCCCAATAATATGACCTTTCAATTTATACATTCCTAGCATAAAATCAACTATCAGCAAAGGATAAGAGCATATCCAGGGTTATCAGTACAAACCGAGAAACTGTTTGCATTTTCCTTCTAATTGTATTATACAAGAATTACTGTAATTGACTTAAGCTATAGTAATCAAAAGTTTATTAATAATTTTATTATTTCATATGATTACTCAAATCATTTTAATTCAATTATAATATAAAAAATATTTATAATTCATGTGATATTATAGATACATTTTTCAAGTTTTTCATTTAATGTTTTCTCTCAAAGTAAATTGATCATGTGATTATCATCAATTAAGATAAATGATGTATTTGTTACCTTGTTGGAACATATACATGGTGACATTTATAGATCAATATGCCTATCTTGTGAATCATTTAGATGTTTTACAATTTTAATTGATGTATCGATTAAATATGATCATTTATACTTGTTATTCATCTACAACTTGACGTTTGTAAGGTTATTTGGTCAGTTAATTAAATTACAAAAGAATATTTTAAATTTTCCTAAAATAATGAAAACATTTAATGTTTTACAGATTCATCCAAGTGATAATTTGACATCTATTTAGTAAGGCGTTTTTTACTGCTACATTTGAAAAAATTAATCTTTAGCATTAGATTTTCTTTAGTGATGTATACGTGAAGGGATTACTACATGTATTATTTTTTATTAGTTACGGTTTTGTCTCACTAAATTTTTTGAAAGGATTTTTAATGCGACAACATGTCATTCATATCAAAATATTTTTTCTTCACTAAAGTTTTATCTCGTAGGATTTTTCTAATAAGATTTTAACAAGATAAATATTTTACAATAAATAAATAAAATATTACGAATAAGGTAAAGTGGACAATATCACAAGATATCCATCCACTTTCCATCGCCCTTTATTTTATTCTCTCCATTAAATTCAATAATTTCTTAACAATAATATTTTTATTTTTATCATATTCACATATAGTCTTTAAATAAAATAAAATAAAAATTACTAATTTGAAGATTGAATTTATATACATATACACATATGCTCATTTAAATAAAACGGTTCAAGTTTATCGTGTATCCAGTATCTTGTTTCATTTGCTCTATAGTGGAAGTTCGCAAATTAAAACAGAGAAGAAACTTGATAGGCTCAATCATGTCACTAACCATTTGACACATGACTTATCCATCATGTCTTGTAGATGATTTAAATTATTGGTACTCATTATAACAAGAACTTAAGGTACAAAATTTATGAAGAATATGTTCTCCGAAATTTTCAGCAGAAAAAAAAATAACTGTCCCTTTTTCCCATATGTATGGAGTAAGGGGGAGGTAAGATAGTAGGCTACCCCAACACTAGGTTGAGAGCAGCTTCCGTAAGAGATGAATGAATGTTCTCTAGCTACAACCGGATACACATTCTCTGACTAAATGTGATGAAGAATGATGCATAAATTCAACATTCATCTTCAAAGTAAACCCACACTACTTCCTTCCCCTGTTAAGCCTCTGCAGGTGGTAATTGATGCTGCCCCATGGCTTCCTATTCATGGTAGACTGCAGCAAAGTAAAACAAAAATGTTAAGTCATTATATATGTTAGATTTCATAGAAAAGAATTTCAAAGTTGGGGGTCAAGATGGAAATAATGATGTAAATTGTTAAAAGTAATTCAGGAGTTTGGGGGCATTAGTTCTACAAGTGAAACCAGAGTTACAAACCTGAGCTTCCATACAGGCATTCAAAAGATCCTTCTGCCGAAGGCATTTTTCTTCATTAGCCTTGTTAAGAGCCAAACAGTTTAGGAACATTGTCATTTCCTTCATGCATGGTTTTGCAAGAGAGCCAAATTTCTTCGGATTTATATAAAGTGCATCGGCTTTGCGGCCCATTCTTTATTATTTAGTCTACATGAAAAGAAGAAAAGAAATAAGTTACACCAACCTCCTTACGAATTCGACTCTATGTCATGTGAAACAGGTTAAAAGGAAAGTTGCAAAAGAAACTATAAGACTGCTAAAACAGACAATTGCTTAACAGCAGGATAAGCACATGATAGAAACATCACACAAAGCTAAAAACAATTATACACAAAGCTTCAGAAACTAAAAACAAGTTCATATACATATAAAGCAATTATACTTACGATCATCTGTTTGGGATTGATGACTCAGCTCATCGAAGGGAAACTAAAACCTTTCAGGTCATTAAAGGGAGATTAAAACCTTAGCACTCGTTAAAGAGAGACCTAGACCTTAAAATAAGAACCAGTCTCATTACATAAAGAAGACCCCTATTCTGAAAAGGAAAATAAGTCAACTTCAGCATAATCAATGAAATAAAAATGTAACCTAAGCCTTAACCAAATAGCCCAAATTAATGGCCTTTCCTAACATAGATGTGAGCTGTAACATCAACCCTTGAGTAGCATAACAAGTTTCTTTCAAGCTCACGTAGACAATTCACAAATTAAATTAAAAATGGTTTTAGATAGTCAAGAATCAACACCCTAAAGCATTAATTGCTGCTCCGGAAATGTAACCGAGTGTGACTTGACAAAAAACTTGACAAATGCAATTCTTCCAAGGCCTCTGCCCTCTCTAAAGGTAAAAATAAAAAAAAACAGAATGTATTATAAGAAACAAATCATATTTAGAATTTGGAGTTCACATAATCATAAGAAACAAAACGCACATAATGTTTTATAAGAAACAGAAAGAAAGAACCTATAAAATAAAATGATTTTATAGAGACAGAGATGGATTATTGGGTTTAAGGGGGAAATCAACGACAGACAAAATTCACCCTGACAAAGAAACTAGTATGTATTTCCCACATATCAGTACCCAGCCTTCCCAATGCATAAACTAGATGAGAAGAAGTGCCAACAATCTCAACCTACATAAGCTCCCACATTTTACACTAATTGACGCAGAACAGTTTGGTTTAAGAACGAGAATGAAAATCAAATATCTGCATGCTTTGCGATTAGCATTAAAGAAAATTGTAGTAAGCTCTTAACCTTAAGTTCAAATATAGTAATAAACCTTAACGCCTATGTTAGATCAATTAGCTTGTGAGAAATTCGGGAAAAGGACTACCCATATATAATCGGATTTTCCATACTTAACCCAAAAAAATAAAAAAAATTGCAACTAAAACAAAGATTAATTCAATCAAACAACTTCAATTTAGAAATACCTGGAAATGAACTTTGATTTGAACATTGCATATAAATAATTTTTAACTATCTTCAATGAATAAAAAAATTAACACATAATTGTAAAAAAAATTAAAAGAGATACTATAGAAGGGAATCTACCGGATCGGCAAACTTCAACGGCGAACACGGCAAAGAGAGGAACGGAACGATCAACCTCGAACTTTAGGGTTTTATTTCTTTTATCTTCTCTTATTTTTTTCCCTTTTTCTATGTTTATGAACTAGGTGGGCCGGATCCAAGTTCCAAAGTAAAAAGGATATGATGGGCCAACTATATGAACCTTCTGGCCCAAATAAGAAAAATAATCTAAATAATAAAGGATTAAAAAGGCTCAATTGTTTATCTATACTGTGCATTGAACTCTCCATTTTTTTTTTTTTTTTGGTAAATAAAGATTGTATCTAAACTAAGAGTTCATCAGCTTGCTATTCCTAACTTATCTTTATGCAACGTTGCCATTACTGCTTTTGGTGGCTCCAGAAAAGTTCTTCCATTAAAATCTGCTTTCTCCACTAGCTTCGCCATTTTATCTGCTACCATATTAGCTCTACGTTCCACCTGTACTATGGATATTGTCCATGTTCTCTCCAATAATTCACGTATGTGCTGTAAAATGGTCGGTGATGTCCTTCCTTGTTCCTTTCGAGTCAGCAGGCTATGTGCTTCCCCATTATCTATCTCTAGGATTATTTTCCTTGCACCTATGTTCCATGCGTGTGATAATCCTTCTACGATACCCCATAGTTCGGCTTCAACTGCTGTGCAAATTCCTATTGCTCTTGATTATCCTAGTATCCATTCGTCGGTATTGTTCCTAATTACTCCGCCGCAAGAAGCATATCCTTCTGCTTGGTCCCTTGTTCCGTCCGTGTTGAGCTTGATCCATTCGGCTGGTGGAGCCTCCCATTGTGACGGTTTTCTTTGCCGTCAGGTCTGATCCTTATGTTGAACATGTTGAACAGATTACATTCTACTTGTAGTCTTTTTCCTTGCTCATATACTGTTGATCTCTCCATGTTTTCTGGTTCAAATACTTTTTGATCTCTATGTTTTCATATCGTCCACAGTAGCGAACCAAAAAGAATATCTCATTTCGTCGCCTCCTTCGCAAAATACTTTGGGTTTTCCAGGTTAACCAACATCCAATCTTTGATGTTTATCTCCAACAATTCATTGAACTTTTATGGTTTGACAAGCGGCTTCCATGTTTCCATAGCTGTTGAACTCTCTATTAAATTGGTATCACGAGTTAAATTATTTATCAACTCAGTTAAAAGTAATAAATATTTTTTATTTTGAAGTATGATAAATATTAGTAGAAAGCTATTTTATATTTTTGTCATAAATTTTAAAAATATTAATGTAATAAATATATATATATATACTTTGGAAGAATAAGTAATCAAAATTATTGTGTTAACCATGGTTTTCAGAACCGGACCGGTTAGCAAACCGACCATGCTATCGGTTCATTGGTTCAATCGGTCGATCGGTCAGAAGAACCGGACGACGTCATAATTATTTAAAAAATTAAATAAAAATACCAAAAATATTTAATAAAAAATATTTTTTATATCACAAGTCATATTCAAAGCAAGTCATAACATATATAAATTAAAAACCATAAAATCAAGTGAAACAAAATGATTCAAATTAACTACAACATAATATTTAAGGTAAAACATATTAAATAATAATATAATTATATAACTATAATTAAAAAATAAATTTGGGGCTAAAAAATCATAACAAAATGATATTGTTTGGTTTAATTTTTTTTAAAACAATCTCACATGACTAAGAAACATAGAAGAGCATCCAAAAGTCTAAAGAGTAAAAATATGAGAACAAAATAATTCCACATTGCTAAGAACATAGAAGAGCATCACAACTAACTTCTATAAATAATAGAGGTAATTTGGCATTCAAAATCATGGAGTCTTTTGGTGAGCATTGAGTGAACTATTCTTTCACTTCAATCAAGCTCGAATTTTAGGCTTCAATTGAGCTTCTAATTTTTTTTAGTTCAAGCCTTTTTGAGTTTAAGTTTCAATATTATATTTCGAGTTCAAGTTGAACTTGATAATTTTTAACTTGTGAGTTTGAGTGGAGTTGAGCTTACTTTTAAAGTTTTCAAGTTCGAGTCGAGGCAATACTCGAGTTCGACTTGGCTCGTTTAACAAACGACGTTTGGTTTAATTTTTTTTTTAAAAAACAAAATTTCCGGTTTTTTCCGGTTTTCAGCCGGTCCGGTTCGAACTGTTTAGCGGTTCTGGTCGTTCACTAGTAGCGGTTCAACCGGTTTAGATTGAACCGGACTAGGTAACGATTCCCGGTTGAACCGGCCGGTCCGGTCCGGTTTTCAAAACAGAGGTGTTAACATCTTAAAATTTGGAATGCAAGTTTAAATATAACATGTAAAGGTAGATCAAGTTTGATATCGTTTAAGTAAAGTTTTGAGTTCGAGTCCTTGTGTATGCAGAAAATCTCTACTGAGAGGCTCATCCACCAAAGGCAGGTGTGATACGTGGGTTGGTCCGGGTTAGTCAAGACAAAGTCTTGGAACCGAGAGGGCAACCAAATATATATATATATATATAAGAATATAGGACTGAATATATTAAACATTTGATATTTTTATTTTCTAAATAAAAAATAATTATATCAAATAGTTAAAAAATAAAACACAAAGAAAAATTAATATTGATATGCCAATGCAATGAATTGTTTAAAGGCCAATTTTAATACAAATAGTGTTGATCAAATTTAAATTTGAGACTGTCAATATCAATCTATAAAATATTAATTATTTATCAATGGAGTTTGTTTTGTTCTCATGTTCCACCACTAACTACAATAAACAACTAATATAAAATCATAACTTTTCTATTTCTTAATTTAATATAACAGACGAGGAAATGCCATGAATTGGTGTGGTTTGGTATCTATTCATAATAATCTGCAAAGATGAAAAACTAAGTCTAATTTCATTTTGACCATATTTTTGAATTATTGTCAATCATGCCACCCAATAATTTAAATGCATTCAATCATGTCACTTTTCGTTAATATTTAACGGAAGTACTGATGTGACAGTTAATAATTTTTGTCATTGTTACTTATATATTATCTCAATTTGGTCTTAAATTTAATAAGTTAAAATAAATTTAATTTTCGAATCAGATCATGCAACATGTCACTAATGCCAGATATCATGAAAAGTGTTTCCACCCGATTTGAGGATTTAATTTATTTTATTTAATATATTTAATTTTCACCAATCAGATGGTGATACGTGTCACCTCAATTAAAAAGAAAATTAAGAGTGGTAAAGGGGCACAAGGGATTTGAACAAGCACCCATTGGGGGAGAAAGGAAAAGCCCAACCATTGGGCCAAGTTCAATTTTGGTAGTTAAGTATTTAAGATTATACTAGAAAATAATATATATATAATATGAGGTCTTCTGTAAACAAAAAATGTACTAGGCTCAGTGCCTGGGCTTCTCTTTTCTCTCCCAATGGTTGCTGGAAATTAAATATATTAAATTAAAATAAATTAGATCATTCAATCGTGTGACGACACATGTCATGGTATTTAATATTAGTGACATATGGTATGATTGATTTGAAGATTAAATTTATTTTAATTTATTAAATTTATGACTAAATTAAGATAATATATAAATAACAGTTACCAAATGTGTAATTATATCAATTTTATTAACTTTCACATCAATATTTCTGTTAAATATTAATGACAAATGGTATGATTAAATATTTAAATAGTTAGATAACATGATCGATAAGAATTAAAAAATGATAATGAAAATTAAAAGGAGGTTTAGTTGGGTGGCTTGATTGAACCTTTATAATGTTTCAGTCAGTTTTGTGTCGACACTGGATTGGTGGGTCGGTCAATAGTCGAGAATCCAGGAATCTTCATTTCCCACAAAATTTCAAATTATTCATATTCTCTCTACGTTGAATAATTATTAATTGCCTTAATGCACACTTGCCGCTGTTTAAAATATTTTTAAAGAAGTTTTGATTCCTTAACTTTAAATTGGTATTTTGTTTGTCCTAAATCACGAACTCTAGTAAAATTAGAATTATGTCATGTCATGTCACTTTCTACTTTTTATTTTTTCTGTCTAAATAAATAAAAATAAATTAATAAATTAAATTAAATATCAAAATTGACCCTCTCCTCTCTTCCCCCCAACCTCACCCCTTTCCCTAACCCCAAACACACCTCTGTTTCCATTTCTCCACTAAAGTCCGACCGGCAAAATTCCTCCACGTTTCGGGACCTTACCAGAGTTACTTAATGCAGTTAATCTTAAGTGAAAACAAGCTGACAGGTGAAAGCCCAGGTGCATTTTCTTCATGCAAAAAGCTTGTGTATTTAGACTTAAACCATAACCAACTCATTGGCAAAATCCCATCTTTTCTCGCCGACATGCCGGTTCTCGGCCATCTTGACTTGTCACAAATGAATTATCCGATGAAGTTCGGCGAAGTTGGGGAAAACCGAATCATTGGTTCAAGTGAACACCTCTCACAATCATTTAATCGGAGCTTTACCTTCAACCGGAGCTTTTCTAGTTATAACGAAAGTGAAGTCGTCGGCAACGATCTTTGCGGCGGCGGTTTGCCGCCATGCAAGAAGCTTAAGAACCGAGCTTGGTGGGTTCTTATTGCTTGCTCTCTCTGCTTTACTGTTCCTCGCTGTTGCTGCGTTTGGGTTTTTGTTCATCAATGGAAGAAACGATTTGGAGCTGAAAAGAATCGAAAATGAAGATGGATCAACTGGGAATTGCATTTTCTTCGATTCCATGGCTTCGAAATCAATAACAATCCATGATACTACACTTTCTGCAAAAGATGAAGCCATTTCATTCAAAGCAAAGTCATCAATTTCAAATGATTTTCAATTCGTCGTCAGCTCAATTCCGTCAAGTTTTTGGTCTGAAATCACCGGAATCAACAAGCTCCGGCACCCGAGTATCGTTAAATTGACCGGAAAGTGCCGGTCGGAAAAGAATGCGTATTTGGTTTACGAGTATGTAGAAGGGAAACTTTTATGGAAACAGGTGTGTTGGGGGTTAGGGAAAGGGCGTGAGGTTTGGAAAGAGAAAAGTAGGACAATTTTGATATTTTATTTATTATTTTATTAATTAATTTTTATTTACTTAGATAAAGAAAATAAAAATTAAGAGATGACGTGATAT